GCCTTCTTTTTGTGAACCTGAGCGAATTCTTTTCTCTATTGTACCTAAATCTTCAACATTTCAAAAAGTAATCTTTCTGAGTGCGCTTGACCGCCTTACTTTACTCGCGGTACACTTACTATATTCCGCAGAGGTTGGCAAGAGCTTATTTCACAGCAAGACTTAATGGAATTAGCCTCGTAGAACTGAACTACCTTGATCTAAATCTCTGGAACTCACAGAAGACCAAGGCACATCCACTCTAAATTCAGCATAAGCTTGGGATCTTTCTTTCCTCAAAGCTAAAGCCCTTGAAGCCAGGTCTTTCTTCTTTAAAGCCTGGAGCTGGTGTATTACTTTATTATATCGTAAGTAAGGAAGTTGAGATTGTCAGTTTCATTTCGTGAACCAGCTACCCTTTATCTTCTTCTTCCGTACCTTCTTCTTAGTCTACCTACTATAGAACCAGGGGGAGACTCCATGGCTTTATAGTCTTTGCATCCACTTGGCCACTCGAGTCTTGGCCACACTCTAATAAGTTCCCATCTCCTTTTATAATTAAAAAGCTACTGGACTTGGCTTCTTTCCTGCACATAGTGTCTGATATTGAATCACATCTGCAGCGCTTACTGATTCAATCACAGAAGAAAAGATCACAGCTGATACGCATTCATTCAATTGCTAACATCACACCGTTTACTGATTAACGTCCGACTACAGCTCGTATGAGTTCTTACGGTTGGTTGGGAAGAGTCTCAACTTCAAGGTACTACATACTTGATTAGAGAAGGAATTTCTTACTTAATGCCATGCTTTACAGACATTCTGACCAAAGCCCCGGATTAGTAACATAGGATTTTTGCTTTTCCGTCCGAATCCCATTCTATGAGGGCCGCCTCACTAGCCTTCCTATAAGGCCTTTAGAGAGGATTCAAACTCTTCGTCCGTGACTCACTGGCATTTCTTCCAGAATGAAGAGAGAGTAGATCTATTGAAGCAGAAAGCCTATTAGGCTCGGTACGCTATAAACATCCTGTTGCCATATCTTCAAACCTATTACCGTAGGTCGACTGTCAGTAACCCTCGCTCTTTTTCGTGAAGAGTCAGTATCTAATCCTTCTGCTCTGGAAGTTGATTGAGGACTTCTATTCACTTTGATAGATGGTGTTGGAAGGAGTGGTGTCCAGGATTAATCCCAGTACCACCACACCTCTCCTTGCCCGTGGTTGGTTTAGGCCACGAGCAAAGACCAAGAAGTCTTGACCAGTAAAGCCTCCAGAGACCCGGGTCCCACCTAAACTAAAACTTGAAGTCAGAGCTTTTGGTGGTTTGATCTCACCTTTATGATACTTCATATTGAGATCAAACAAAGGCCACAATATCCCAAACCTTATCAGCTCTTGATTTTAATCCTTTGCTTTCCAAGATGTTAGGACAATTGGGCCTTCAAACCATGATTCAATGGAGGTATCCGGAGAAGAGGACTGGACTGCGTACCAGGCCAAATACTTAAGCCAGGCACGGACGAGCTAGCTGGGCGAAGGGATTCCCGAGTCAAACGACTACCATACATAGCATAGAGCTGGAAGCTGCACTAGTGGACAGAGAAGACTGGACGTGAACACGAAACTGTACAGGAATAAGAATCGCCCCACTTTCCCTCTTTGAAAGAGCATAGCGCTGTAACCCCTAAAAAGAAAGAGGAAGAGAGTGTAATGCCATAAAATTTTAGATATCCTTTATAATTCTGATTACTCTAAAGAAGCGCGAGCGCTGGGCTTTTCGTGATAAAAAAACTATCCTAAACTCTCTTCTTCCGGGGATTCGGGTTAGTTGTTGACTTACAAAGAAAGGCAGATCGATTAAGATCTTCATCTTTATATGGCATTCTAACTCTAACGATTAACGATCATAATCCTTTTATCAGGGTGCTCTTCACATTCATTCATCAGCCTGCTTCAAAATCCCTTTGCGTGCACCTTTCTACTAGTCTCACTTGAAATGAAGTTCTTCCCATTCCCCTGGGGTAAATTCCTTGGAAAAGACGAAGCGGAACGGGCAAGTCAGCCAGAGCAGCTTTGAGGGAAGCCAGCTCCTCATCTGACTTTGTTTGAAGGTCGGTGTCGAGGAATGGCATGGTCTCCGGGAGAAAGAAAGCCAAAGGAGCGAAAAGCACACCATCCTAGGTAAGCAGCATCTTTGAAGCGGCATCTCACTCAATATACGCAATTATCAGATCTGTCTTTTCCGGCCGATTCCGTGCCACTCTACTTTGGACCCTCTTACAGGAGCTCGGACTGAGTCTAGTTTAGGTCCATCCGAGGGTTTGCCTTTTCCTTCTGCACTTCTTCACTTTTCTGCTTTTTGGATGGGTGCTCTCCCCCGAGTGAAGGCATAAGCCGTAGCCGTAGACAGTCACTAGCACTAGTTTGATCGCTATGCCATTCTCGGCAACGATGTGGTGATAGCTGATCGACGAGTTGCTTCGGTCTACCTTGTTGAATCATCTACATTGATTGAGGACTCGATGTCAGAATGCATTCTTCGATACCCTGTTGTAGAAGTTTTCATCTAGTTCCTGTAGCTAGTCGTAGATGCATATTATAACTGCTATCGGATCTGAGGTTCGGGGGATTTTGAACTATATTATTTAAAAATATATATAAATTTAATTCCTGTTGGATCTCTTGCTTTCAAGTTCTCTTAGTTTCTATGTAACTCAATCAGGACGTAGATGTAGATACGGATAGGGGTAAACCGGGTAACCAATCCCGGTGGCTGGATGACTCCTTCACCCTTAGATCGCAAGACTAAGGCCAACGAGGCGGAACCTCGGTGGCGTGATAGGCTGGTTCTCACCAGGGTCAGTCCTATCACAAAATTAGAGTTTATAACCTCACTCAGCTTGGTAAGGCAGAACCCTATGTTAGTCAAATAGGCACCCCCCGGTTTCTTAGTGAAACTCATCAAGGTGAGGTTTGGTGGGCTAGCTTATAGCTATTCTATCACTCAGGGATCCAGAATGGAGCAACTGGGGGTGACGCGGAAGCCACCCGGGTGGGGTAAGATATGATATCAAGCGGCCTCATGCAGGTAACCAAACCAGCGTAGGAAGCTTATCTATTTAGATAATAGGCTTCCATCTGGAAATTTTTTTTTATAGGATATCTATAGTTAGACTCATCCAATGGTGGAAGATCTTCGACTACTAAAGTCAATGTGTAATAAGTTTATTTTAGTAGTCACTGATGGTCTAACCTAACCAAGGAGCTCTGTATCGGAGCATACCTCTTTGCCAAGCAGGTAGTTTGAATCGCTGGTCAGGCGCTCTGTTTACTGCTTTATATCTGAAGCAGTGCGCAGTAACACTTCAACAGGCGTACGGTGGGATTACCCCGTATGATATTCATACTAAACTATCTGTACCCATATCACTCACTAGATCAGGTTACCCTAGGATCATACCATCCTTTCATAGACAACAAATCTATATATAAAAGGGATGAGAAAGCTGATATGCTAGTTAAACTCTACTTATCGTTCTTTAGTTTATCTAGAGCGATTAAGTTAGCAAAACGGATTTATCCGTCTTTGTTTGCTAGCATAACTGATCCTATGTCTGACGTTCACAAATTTTAAGAAGTCAGAGATTGGCTATGAGGGTTAATACGTAAACTAGCCAATCGGTACCTATATCAAGCCCTCTCACGCCCCCTTTACCAGGGAATCTCGTGGGAACCGACTTGGAAGGCTCTGCCAACGGATCGTAAGCGACCTGGTCAGTCTCGCCGTGAAAGAGGCATATTTGCCAATTTTACATCACAGTGACTCTGGTTCGCTATGCTCCGTTTATCGATGTCTGTTAACCCTGCATTAGCATTAGGAATGACGCAGAAGCTTACATCGAAAGGATCAACAGCCTTTTTTATGGTCATCCATTACCACCTCGTGATGAATGGGATGATTGGCTATCCAATATATCAGCCAATAGTTCTGTTACAATTAAAAAATGTATTCTGATGGAGTTTGACAGTACTGGTGACTTATTTTGCTATCCTGGCGGGTTCTCGCATTCAGTTGAGTCTGGTGCGGGCAAGAGGAGGGTGTTTGCCATAGGAAACTATGTCAATCAGAGGCTTCTCCGACCTCTCCAGCCCCGAAATGAGGCTATTTTCCTTCTCTACGACCATAGACTGAAGTTAGAAGATCCACCGGAGATAGTCCTTTCTTTGACCTACCTTGACTTTAGTGGGTCTACGAATCCGCGGAGGGACAAGTCTGCTAGTGACCAAGCATCGAGTCAAGATAGGAGCAACCCCCCATTCAAACCAACCTATAAAACAAGTTTTCACTAGGTTTTATCTAGAAGGCGGGAAGAGCTCTATTGGAGCATTTGGGCGGGAAGCCCTACAATAATGGGATCCGTTACTTGACTTGTGAAGCCCTGTGCTCGAAGCAAAATAAGATTACTTGCACAAAGAAAGTGACCAAAGATATATTCAAAACTTAGAAAGAAAAAGGCGCAGAACGTTGCAGGAGTTCCTGGAAGTCAGTCAACTCTTGCCGATAGTCGGGCAATCAATCCATCCTTCGTCTCGGGCACAAAATAGGAACTCTTGTACTGGAAAAGAGAAGGACGCAATGCCTTTCTTTTACTTACCCTTTTTCTTCTCTTATGTATGATATTTATAATGACCCAGTAATGCCCCATCAAAGAGCCTATTCGTCGTAAGCCCTTTTCACCCTCACAGCTGATTCGACGGGATGCGGATTCTCGAACAAGAACACATGTAGCTCCTTCTCAAAGACCGGATTCTCAAGCAGGGGTTTTGAAGCTTCTTCTATCATTCTCGGTATCAACAAATTACCTCCTCGTATTACGTATTAGAAAAAAAGGTAACCAGATCTCCTCACTGGAGTTCTTTGGGCTCGCTCGGTTCGTCTGTTCATTGTAGGAAAGCGTTTATGGAGCAGGAACCTATTTTTAGAGGTCAGCCCGCTTTCTTTCTCTGATCCCCAATATGAGTGAGACCAAGATGGCTGACTGGAGTGCCACAAATCAGCTGGTCATGTCATGGCTTCTAAATGAAATTTTTCCTAAAATTTCTACCAGTCTTATATTTAAGACATCGGCTAAACAGGTATGGTCTAGAGGAGCTATAATCCTTAAAGGCTATTCCTGACCGATTCCCTTTCGTCTCTGCTAAGATGGACGAGAAGAAGGATAAGAATTGCTTTACCCGGTTGGACTATTCCGGAATCTTCTTCTTCGAATTAGCCTCAAAGGCAGGGTCTTCTGAGCTCGTCTATTGTGTTTTTTACATGGATAAGCCTCTTCTCTTATGGGCTGGCCGTCCTTCTGTTTCGATGAATGGATTGACCATGAGCTTACAGTGCCTTGTAGAAAGCATAGCCTCATTGTTCACTCACCGAAGATTATTCTCTTCACATAGATCTCGGGATACGAGACCTTCCTTCAACTACGAACAAGAAAGGATCATATATTTTAGGTAAGTATTTTTTTCGACCCCTATCATCCGATAATCGAACTCGATTTTCTAATACATCCACAAGATTAAATTTCTTACCTTTCTTAACTTTCTTATCTAGAATTTTTTCCCTTTGAAATAATTCCTTGCTTAGTTGATTTTTTTTTCTTTATTACGGGAGATCCAAGAATTATACAATTCATTCTCATTATTGGAGGTTTTCTCTGTTCTGAAGAGATCCATTTTTTTTTCCATGATGTTCAGAAAAGTAGATAAATGAGGTGGATACGTGAAAGAGGTCGCTATCTCCCCAGTGAAGGCTCGCTTCACAGACTTCACGAGCAAAGAATAGATATGACTTACAAAAAGGTGCCCATATGTTTGCTGTCCTGTCTCTGCCTGTAGGTAGTAGGTCCCTGCTCTTTCAAGCGGATAAGTTGAGGGGCTTGCTTCCCAAAAGAAACTTCCCTTGCCTCCTCCTGGCCTTGACACTCTAGTTGTTGTAGCTCTTGTTTACTCCTTGTTTTCCTTCTTTCTCTTGTTAGGAGTTTAGAGTATGTCTAGAACGAGTGGAACGAAGTGCTTCCCTTAAAAAGCCCGAGTCCACGACCTAAAGAGGAGCCGAAGGGAGATGGCTAATAGATTGACTTGCTTTTTACCTTTCGTATTCGGCGGAAGTAAAACTTGATATCGGTGAGCTCCGTTTGCTTCGAAAAGATGTTGTTGGGCAGTAAGCATTTGTAAGAATAGCATCCCTATGTGGGGGAAGATCACGAAAGACAAAGATTATAAAGAGGGCCTCATGACGACTAATCCATGAGAGCCCGTATTTATGCTTTCATTCACTCGTTCCTCGTGGTCAGGAGAGGGAAGATCTTAAGGCTTTCTAGTTTTTGATTGAATCCACTTAAGAATTTGATTGTGCCCATTGATTGTATGCCGAGGGAGAGAGCGATAGAGAGAGGGGTGGTAACCTGACCTGGGACATCGATCTGGAGTTGTGGTCTCCTTTCCATCCTTGCGTATGCCTGGACCTAGAACGGAGGGAGGATCTGAACGAGAGAGTAGAGTGAAGGCCTGTAGTTGATACAGAAGCGAGAGCTGGATCAAGGCCTTTGATAGAGTGTCCTCCTATCACAGAAAATCCTTTCCTGGTCAATGAAAGAGACGAGCAAGACTTCAAGTTCCGTTATTACCGGGTGCAAGGCTGAGAAAGAAAGAAATTGAAACCCGAATCAAGATCAATGCGTGAAAGAGCAAAGGATTATACATCACAGGGTCAGGCCCCAGGAGATGATACTCTCCGTTCTTTAATCAGATAAGGATGCTTTCCATGAATTGCTCCAGCTCTGGTGCACACCTGTTCTCTCTAGAAAGATAATGTTCACTGGAAAGCACAGACCAGCTAAAAAAAGAGTGAGCTAATCAAGGTCGGGGCGGGAATACCAGTTCGAAAATAAAGACAGATCAATCACTTTGGCAAGAAGAGTGAGCGAACAAGTATGCTTTCTTCTCCATTGATGTCGAATTCAAGTTTATTGACCTCTGACTAAAAGGAGACAGCTAAGAGCTAGGGGCGGCGAAAGCTTATTCTGGGAACGCTATTTCCCGGTCTGGGACAGTTGGTTGATTGGATAAGAGGGGAGATCCGCGAAGGGAGTATAAAAAAAGAAAGTAATAGGAAAAAAATGCTATTCAAAAGAATCAGACTAGCTTTCCGTACTGACAAAGAGTCTTTTAGTACTACTATGTATTAATATCTAACCAAAAAAGAAGGAAGAGAACGAAAGGAGAAGAGAAGTCCACTTCCGGGACGGAGCCCTACATAAATTGAAGCATCAGGAACAAGCAAAGATGCCACCGGTTAAGAGTTGGAGATTGTGCTTCATATTCTTTATGTATTATCCATTCATTCGGACTTCGAACAAGCCTTAGGTTGAATCCCGACATGGGCGAGTAGGGATTCCAGGACAGTTTCAAGCAGCTTCTTCGGGCCGATTACTCATTCGCTTTGTTACGAAAGAAGTTGCAAGGTGCGAGATGCGCAGCCTTTGATCCAATTCAGCTTCAAGGGCCTTACCATCCCGGTTAAGGAATGACAGGTCTACGTTCTGGTCTACCCGCACGTGACAAAATTGTGCATAGTCCGTATGTCATCCCGCTTCCCCCGATCTTTCTCTGTCTGGGTTCGTCTAGCTTTGCATTGCTTGCCTGGCTTAGACTGGGTTAATTTCCCCCCTTTGAAAGCCCCATACCTTACTAGAGCCCCCCAACAAGACCACAACTCAATTAAGTCCGCCTTCTGTCCTCCACTACCAAAAGACGTGGAGACCTGTTTCTCTCGTCAGCTCCTTACCTAAGGTTACCTTCACGTCACTTCCTTGAACTCGCTTAAGGAAATCCCGAGCTCCAACACTCGAAAATAGTAGCTACACAACAACAAGACAATGGGGCCTACAGACCCCCACGACTATTAATAAAGCACAGCTCTTTCCTCACATCTACCTAACCAATTCCGATTGAGCGCGTGAAAATGCAAGATGGAGGCCTTTCAGAATGAAAGGAAGATCATCCCTGGGGAAAGAGATCGGCAATTCGCTCAGGCGGTTAGTTAGTTGTAATTGAGTAGGCAGTTCTTCTCTTTGCCTTTCAGCCGGCTAGTCCGCTTATCCCTCTGTGAGCGGAGATGGTTATACAGGAAGTGTTGTGGCTTTGGTGGAAGGCTGGGAAGATCCTTGTTTGGGTTTGGTAGACTCTTAGTGGGGGTCTTCGTCAACATGTTATGAGGCTCCAGTCTTCGGCGGGTCACCATTACTTGACTTAGAAAGGCGAACATCTAGGCAAGGGAAAGCGCAGTGCGCCTGGTGCAAATGGCTTTCATTTTTCATGATATACCAATCAGAATGGGGGACCCTACCTACGTACATGATTGATAGAAGAACTACTTAGGGGGTCGGTCAACTTGATGCGGCAGAGGCATGAGTGCAGTTCGATCTTGTGGTGTATTCGTTTGTAGTGAGTAGGGCCTCTTTCTCGTTGATCAGTTCGCCTCCGCTCTATTGAAAGGTCTCCATTCCTACGGCGGTTTTGTCAACGAACGCGTCTCGGGCCGGATTGACTAACCTAACCCTTAATTAAGGGGGCCTTGCCGTAGTTGGGTGCTATGCTTTAGTGTGATTGACGAAGGCTAGGCTAGTAATACCCCAAATAAATGAAAAGAGATCGGGGTCGATAGTTGGCAAGGAACTTGATCCCCCCCAAAACAAAAAAGGGGCAGCTGCGGTCGAACTCTAATTCTGGAAATCAAATAAGTCGGGGCCCTTTTACCTTACCAAGTCTACCGGATAGAAATTTTAAGATCGGGTTCAAATAGATACGGGAAAGGCTTTATCCCTAAGTGGAATCGGTGGAATGCCCTGCTTCCGGCTAAGTATACAGAGTTGGGTCTACCGTTCGTTCAACCGTTACCTCTATTCTATTCCGATCTTTCTTTTCTCCTTTGCTTCCTTGTCTCGTCTATCCTTCTCTGTCTTCAGCCTGTCTTGGAGCTCTATCTCGTCCTTCCTTTGGCTTGCCCTGAGGATTTACTCTCCAAAGTCGATTTGATCACTGCGAGTTCGGTTCAAGTCTTCATCGATCGGGTGGATCTTTGAGGGGGGATGGAAAGGTGGGTGAGTCATGGCTGTGGACAGAGAGAAATCAAGCGGTAGTGGAATAGATTTCTAGTAAGTGTCTTCTTTCCTTCTCTTCTAGTAAAGGTGCGCCGTCAGGTCTCTCTTCTTGGGATATCTTGATCACCAGAAAGGATAGAGATATTAAGTAGACATGCTTTAGGCATCGATCATCTTCCTAACTACATGGTACTCCCCCTCCACGGAGGGTGGAAAAAATGAGGAAGTGTCCCTTAGAGAAAGAGAGTCCGCTCTCTCATTGTCTGATTGCATCGTAGAGCGTCTGCACCAATTGCTTGGTTGCAGTAGCAGCCCCCATTCTCCTTCTTTCATATGAAAAATAAGAAAGATTGAAAATATAGTAAGTGTAAGAGCTACTTCAATCTTTATTCGCTAAAAAAGAGAAGCTGGGTTCCGATAAGAGTTGTTTCATCTGGATTGGGTTAGTGTTAAGTGTACCTTTCTTTCGATCCAGTAATCGTGCCGGGCTCTATCGATTAAGTAGTCTAAGTAGTCCCTCCCTCCTTCTTTTCTTGCTCTCGAGCTAATAGGGTTATAGGCGGACCTATCATTTCTTCGATCTAAATTTTAGGGGAGTTAGAAGTGCTTCTGTCTGTAATTCCTTCTGGCTTTGATTCTGCCTTCGGGCCAAACAAGCCAGTGGTCTAATCTAAGGACCTTGAAGCAGGAGTCTTTCCTTCAGTCTCATAATGTGAGGGCTTACGTATATAAATATCTTACTTTTTTGTACTAAAAAAAAATGCTTGGCTTTCTCTCCTGGATTTTTAGTAAGCAAGTGAAGCGAGCTCTTCTTTATGGGGTAGCGGTAGAGGGGATTTTCTTTCTCTCCCTCTTGATGTCTTGTCGGCCTAACCTAGGAGTTATCTTTCCCGGAAAGAGAGTAGTGGCGCTCTCTTCGCATCCTTTGACTTTCCATGCTTCGTGAAGGGCGGGCTCACTTTCGATCAAGGTAATTTATGCCTGCTCTGGTTCCCGGCAAAGAATGGATGAGCGCTCATGAGTTCCCACTATCGAATCATCTCAGTTCGTTCCTATTCCGGGCATTGAAAGCTGAAATCAAAAGACATCAAGGCCTAATTCAGACAATGATGTTCTTCTCTTAAAATAGCAAGAATAGCTTAGCTGGTGGAGGACTCTGCACCCAGTAAGGTCAACACTTTCAGTCAGGAAGATGCTTTGCCACCCAATCGGCCGAAGCATTGGCTAATCTGTTCACCCTTTATACCGACCAGCTGTGGTGGGACATCAGGAGTTGCTGCACATCACTAACAATAGGCCTCAGACTGCGATCTGTAGACGACTTTTGACTATGAAAAGCTTTCAAGACCTGAGA